GGGCAAGTCCATGTCAATGAATAGTAAGTACTCGACACCAACTACAAAGAGTGGACATGGCGGCATGTATAAGAAGTCACCATACACACCAACCAAACATGGCTGCACAAAGAATCAATGGTGGTTGAGTGCTAAGTGTAGGGGCCAACAAGGTTTATATATTGAAAGACGAAGACAAGGAAGCTACACGAGTGGTTGTCAACTTGTCAAGCCTAAACCTGGTCCCCAACATCGTGAGGAGATTAAGCGTGTATCAAGTGGGAGGCAGAAGAATAATCATGATAGCCTTGACATGTAAAGTAAGGTGGCCCAAGCAAAGAAGCACGAGACCTCATGCAAGGCCACCAAAACTAGACAGGCTGACTATGTACCACCCATTAGTAAGCTAGAAAATTCAAAGTTAATGTATGAAGATTCATCTCCCATGGTGGAAAAGAGTCATGTGGTCTATGGATGACATGTCTAGTTTGATCAATGGACTTGGCAATGGGTGTAAACCTTTGGTACATTGATTGTTGCCAAAGGCTATGGAGAGCAGTGACATTTGTCACTTCTTGCCATATAAAATAAATAAATTTATATAATGTACTTATTATATATTAGTTATAAAAAAAATATTGTAGCCAACCACGGCTAAAAGAAACGATAGAAGGAAAATATCAAAGTGAAAATCTTGAGTCGGAGTTGTTAGACTTCGACATGAAGATCTTGCCACCAAGGCATTGTGATGGCTTGACATGACGAGCCATACATCAGGCCATGCCATGCCATGTTATCTTGTCCCGAGTAGCCACAGCCTGGGGGCATGATGACTTGAAAGTGGTAGTAGAGGAGTGGTGACCATAATGTATCTACCAACATAAAAATGAACATTATATTTTTCTAAGGCAAAAAAGTAGACGGCTTGACTTGTCGCGAGGGAGATGTCTAGCCTTATGACGAGGTGGGATGAGCCAATCTATGCCAAAATAGGTGCGAAAAATTCTAAGTTATTCTCTCAACCATATGGCCAAGTACGAGATGTCAATGAGGGTGTAGGTGATAAAGTGAAGTTCGTGTCTCGTTGAATGCATTAGGTGGCTTGACCATTAAAAGCCAAAATTTGGCTAAGGCATAGGACGAGTCGTTGACGTCGAGTTCCATCCGGCCATGTTGGCATGATCATTGAAAGCCAAAATCTGGTTAAGGCATGGAACAAGTTTTGACGTCAAGTTCCATCTCGCCATGTTGGCTTGACGTGAAAAACCAAAATTTGGCTGAGGCATGAGACAAGTTTTGACATCGAGTTCCATCCTACCGTGTTGGCTTGACGTGAAAGCCAAATTTTGCCTAAGGACGAACTAGGTGTGTTGAGTAGACACTAGCCAACTTGTTACTTTCGTTGGCATGGTGGTGTTCAACTACTTAGTCCATAATTATTATGCACTAAGTAGTTGGGGGCATTTGTTTACACCTAAAAAAATAATATTGTACCACATTGATTATTTACAAGGCATTTATTATCTTTATAAGGCCAGATCATTAATGACAATTAATGTTATTTGAACTGGCCCTCATGATAATAATTTTAAGCCCCAAACTACTAAGTCTCCAAGAAGGAGCTAGTCTCGTCGCGAGTTGAAAAGCCCGACGTGGTCATGAGATCTAGACCATGTCGACATCAAATCTAGAGCTTTAATGAGATCTACACCACGTTTGCTTCAAACTTAGAGCTCGACGTGGTCGCGAGATCTAGACCGCATTGGCATCAAATCTAGAGCTCTACGTGGTCATGAGATCTAGACCATGTCGGCATCAAATCTAGAGCTCTACGTGATCATGAGATCTAGATCACGTTGGCTTCAAATTTAGAGCCCGCCGCGGTCGCGAGATCTAGACTACGTCGTGAGACCATGTCCAAGATTTGAGCTAACAAGTTGGAAGTAAGAAGGCAAGTCATGTGGGAGAGGCGAGTAACAAGACGACAGTTCCAGGATGAAGAGCAAGCAGTTAACGGAGAAACTGCTGATTATACCACGTACAATGACACGTCAGCCACGTCCGAGAAAGAAGGGAAGCAGTTCTTTTTGGAAGTTACTCTAAGACAGTTTTCTACGACGGTTATCATCTCAAGCCTATAAATAGGAGGAGGAGTTGACAGAGAGGGGGGGGGGGGGGGGAATCACCACCTGACACCACTTGTCAAGTTTTTATCAATTTTATCTTTCCTCTGCAACTTTTATCAGTAGTCGTAGATTTGGAGCTCTCTCAGAACCTCCATAGGAGTAGGAGTAACTTAATGTAGATCTGTCTCGAGAGTCATGTAAACATCGATCACCCTTGTTCGAACTGTGTTTGAAGAGGTGTGAACTGTGTTAAGTTAATCATTGTCCAAAGAAGTCAAGGTGCAATCAATATCAATTCAACACAAGTTTTCTCGCCGGAGAACAGTATCCTACCAGTAAATTCTTGAAGCTCACAACCTGCTATGCGGTGTTTGATTGCAACATTCAGATATAGCTATTTTGGAGTTCTTTTTTGGAGATAAGGTGTATCTCAAAACGCACTCATTTGTTCTCTGGCGTCGCCTCTGTTCTAGACACGTGAAATATTTTTCTCTGCATGAAATGTTCCATGAAAGAAATGATTTGAGATAAAATATTTATTGATTTTGAGATTGATTCATAATTTGATCATGCATCTTGAAGATGTTTTAAATGACCTAATATAATTTGAACTTATATTATTATTTGTCGAAAGGGAATCCTGTGGGTGTGTTGGCATTGATTCGGGGTGGAGTTTCAGTTACCGGTTAACCGGCCGTTAAACTGATAATCAGCCGGTTATCCACTAACCGCTAACCGATATAACTGAAATTCGGTCGGTGTTCGGAGGCTGGACGAGATGATTTTGGTCTTGAAAGTTGTTCGATTAACCGATAACCGAGATAACCGATAACCGAAGCCTATTTCGTTGTCGGTAAGGGGGTCGGCATTTCAGTTAACCGATAACTAACCATTCAGTTACCGGTTATAACATAAACTAACCAATGGCCAGCCCTAGCATTGATGGTGATTTTGAAAGATTGAGAAGTGAATTTGGTGAGATTATCGTAAAAAAGGTAAATACTAATTATTAGTCATAATTTTCCTGCATTTTTAAATATTAGTCAAATCTTTCCAAACACAAAATATTAGTCAAATATTTTATAATACATCAAAATATTAAGCCATTTCTCTGTTATCATTAATAATTTTGCAACTCTTTTTTAGTTAAAATATTAAACTTTTGGAATGTTGACCTCCATGTATCTCTTCCAAGTCAATACCATATTGTCAAGTCAATATTACTAACAAAACTGCTAACTGAAAGTTAACGTTTGGGTAATATTTTATATTTTGAAAGGTTTGACTAATATTTTATATTTTGAAATATTTAGCGCTAGAAATATTTGACAAATAATTAGTATATAGCTTAAAAACAATATAAATGATCCAGATACTTCGAAGGCAAAAGTTATCATTAACTATTTAAGATGCAAATTAAATAATATTTTTTTTTATAAAGGTGGCGTAGGTTGATCTTTTATATTTATGTGCTATTAGAGGGGTTCGAATCTTAACCATTAGGTTCATAATTAAAACATATTGAAAATGGAGCTTTTATAAGGATTAAGGAGCCATTAAAACTAGAACACTCAATTGTTGAGTTGTTCTGTGGCAAATTAGTAAATTACAAATTTTTTGGGAAAAAACTACAGCAGAGCCACCAAAAAGGGAGGTTACAAAAATATGGACTAACCAAGTAAAAGAAGAAGAAGAAAAAAAAGAGTTGCGAAACAATGGGCTCTAAATTAAGTTGGAAAGGAAAAAGAATTCAACAAATTGACTGAGCAAGTGAGCAACAACATCTGGAACCAAAAAACAGTTCCACTTTCTGCCTAAATTCCGTTCTTAATTTTCAGGGGAGAAGAAGCCAAGCCAAGGGTGTTGACCTAACACATGTTACATTCAATTCTCATAATTATTGTCCATTTTCCTCTCCCAATTACACATTGAATATTTGTGGAATAAAATATATGAAATCACACCTTAAAACCAACATCGAACTGATGTGGATATGGATAATACCCGAATTAGTTAGGGTAAGTTAATATTGATAGTTTCAATTCTTACAGCTGCATATCAAGAATTGAGTAAAATAATTCAACCCGGAAATGATGCAAGTTTAGACAATATAAAAGGGTTGAGAATTGGGAATTTAGTTTTCAGTGAAAATATTGTGGAAGTTGAGTTTAATTGGACTTTATTTTAAATGATAATTACATTTATGTTTTAAAGATAACAACTGGTTTGTAGTGCAATGAATAACATTTCCTCTAATCATTATAGTGTTTTGGTTTGAATCACAAAGACTATCACCTTTTTGTTTTCTTTTCCTCCAAATTTATAGTACTAAGAGGAGATCCATCAAATTTTAGGGGTGAGACCTAGGCACGAAAATCGTACAATCGACACGAAGTTGGAGACAAAGATAGTGCCTTCCTAGTCACAGAATGGACTACCCTATTACTAAGAGGGCCTAGATCTACCCCTGCATATATGAGAATGTGTTTAGAAAGTTGGACACAGTTGAAGTGGGCATTAAATCAATATGATGACAATTTAAATACAAAATTATCGCCATATAATCACAAAGTATGTCGCGTTCGATACAACGATGCCGAACTATTATGAACACGTTCTCACCGTTTTTGAGTTTTGGACTAAGGATATCAAAATTTATGCCAAGACATGAATGACAAATATCTCCGTAACAGTCCCAATCCCCAACACACGTATTTGCTTCTGTAATCCCCCTTTTCTTCCCATTCCGTGCCCTCTCAACGTCAACGGTCTAATTAATACCAATACCACCCCTTCTCCCTCTCTTTCCTTTCTCTTCGCAGTTCGCACCATATAAAGCCAGAGTTAATGAGCTACGCCCCCTCCATTCTTAACTTGCTCCCAAAGCAAACCCTCCATCAATAAACCAGACGAAGAACAAGGGGAGCAGCTGAAAAATACCAACAGGGACAAGATTGAGAAGAAAGGAAGAGAAAGAAATGAAGCTGATATGGTCCCCTGAATTGGCTACCAAAGCCTATCTCGATACTGTTAAAGCAGTAAGCCAGCCAAATTACTTCTTTCTGTAAGACTTGAATTATATATGTTTGGGGTTTTCCCTCAATTCTCAATTCTCCTTCTTCTGGATGGCGATTTTTGATTCCTGGGTTTTGGCAGTGTGGGATTAGCCAGGAATCCGGCGTAGCAGAGCTGGTTTCGGCTATGGCGGCCGGCTGGAACGCCAAATTCACAGTGGAGACATGGTCCCGCGGCGGGCCGGTGGCGACCAGCATCGGCCTCGCCGTCGCCAGCCGTCACTCCGGCGGGCGGCACGTGTGCGTGGTCCCCGACGAGAATTCCAGATCGGAGTATTTGCAAGCACTGCGTCAGGCTGGCGGTGGGAATTCGATTAATATTCTGCCGGCGGCCAATCAGGTGGTGGTGGGGGGACCGGAAGAGGTGATGCAAGGGCTGGAGGGGATCGATTTCCTTGTGGTAGATTCGCGGCGGAAGGACTTCGCCAGGGTGCTGAGAGCGGCCAAGCTCAGCGGCAGGGGAGCGGTGCTGGTGTGTAAGAACGCTAGTTCGAAGCAGGCGGCGAGCTTTCTGTGGCGGGGCGTTCTGGATGGCGGGTCGACCAGGCGGTTGGTCCGGTCGGTTTATCTTCCTGTTGGCAAAGGGCTGGATATTGCACACGTGGCAACTAGCGGTGCCGCGAGCAGTACCGCCGTCGGCGGGCAGAGTAAAAGCAGCCAGAGCAGGTGGATCAAACATGTTGATCGAGAGTCGGGGGAGGTTCATGTTATCAGAAAGTGAAGATTTTTGGGACTTCTTTTGATGAACTCCAATAAGGGGGAAAAAGTGACTGTTTTGAGTATGTACAAAAGTGGTAGTTAACAAGATTTACTGTAATCTCTTTCGTTTTTTAACCATTAGATGGTTTTTGGCTTTTTGCTGACCAGAATCAAGTTGGCTTTTTACTGTGTACAATACTGTTTTCAATTTGGGGACTAACTATGAATGAGGAGTAGTCTGGCAATCTCATAAGTTGGTCAGCTTTGCTTATCTCTTGTTGTTGTTTGGTTTCCTTTATCTCTGGGATCAATTTGAATGTGCGACGAAAGATAAACTTGTATAAGGTAGAAGGTTCGTCGAATAGATTATTTATGTTTACACTTCTTTTATTATGCATCAATATGTATAGCTATTAGCCAGTAATTGATCATGTTGTAACTTTTGCAGAATGAAGCAGCTTCTCTGGATGTTTTCAAGAAGTATTAAAACAAAGTATTTAGTGTTTAGCTGAAAAAAATATCAGGATTACTTTCTAATATAAAAGGTTTTGGAAAATGACTAAAAAAGATTTCAACCATAAAATATGAATACAAATTCTACAAATAAAAACGTATTTAAAATAGGTCACATGACATTTATTTCATATTAAATAATACTATCTTTCAATTTATGTTTTTTATAATGATATAAATAAAAGAAAATTATGTTTTTTAGAAAAAGAATAATATATGATAAGAACAATTTTGTATTTTCAAATCGGAGCTTCTACTTTTAAGTTACGAAAAACTTTAGTTTTTTAAAAAGCGAAACTTTAGAGGTGTTTAGCTTGGCATCAACTTTTGAAACTTAAAACTTCTAAATTTGGGCCAAATATAGTCCTACTCTTTTGGCTTTTTTTAGGTTTGAGGTAATCGTGGTTCTCCTTTATGAAATTTTTGGACTGATTTCAGGTTTGAGCAGGTTCAACTCACATTGATCGGGTCAAATTAGGTTGGATACCCATGGATTTGAGTTCAATTGTCTTTTGCAAACAAAAGGAAAAAGCGAAATGAAAAACGCTAAAGCTAAAACTCGCTACCTACTCAAAACTCGTCATCAGCAAGTTCAACTCGCTTTGACCTGGTTGGACTGAGTTTTGGACAAATTCACACCTGACACAACACGCCAATTACAAAAATAGATAAAACTCGTTCCCGCCAAAAACCTGTAAAATCGGTGCAAGTCGCTTTGATCGGGTCGAATTAGGACTCAATTGTCATTCTCAACCAAAAGGAAAAAGATAAAAAAAATATTAAAGCAGATAAAACTTTCTCATGACCCTAAACTCTCAACACTGCGTTCAACTCGCTTTGACCAGGTCGACCCAATTTAACAAATTCAAAATTTACCCAACCTGTCAATTACGAAAGCAGATAAAACCCGCTCTTGATACGAAACTCATCAACAATGGGCCAGAGTTTAATCATCATTCTCAACGAAAAGGAAAATGAGAAATAAAAAAACATTAAAGCGTACAAAACTCGCTTTCGATCTAAAACTGGTCAACAATGTGTTCAACTCGCTTTGGACAATTTTTTAACAAATTACCACTTAATTGGTCCAACCTGCCAACTACAAAAGCGGATAAAGCTCGCTCACAATATAACACTCGTCAAAATGTTAGATTCGGGTTCAATTGTCTTCCCAACCAAAAGAAGAAAAAAAAAGAGAAATTTATAAATGCTAAAGTCTGTTTCAAGACACTTTGACCGGATCGAATTAGGTTGGATACCCATTGATTTGGATGGAATTGTGATCGTGCTCAACAAAAAGGAAAAAGTGAAAGAAAAAAAAACACTAAAGCGAACGAAAATTGGTCCCGATACAAAACTCGCCAACATTGGGTTGATATGGTATGAATTTTAGGTAGCGACATTGGGTTTAATTGTGATCATGCTCAACAAAAAGGAAAAAGAGAAAGAAAAAACACTAAAGAGGATGAAACTCGGTCCCGATACAAAACTCGTGGTAGCGACCTTAGAAAAAGATGGTGAGGAACAACTTAGGATTCCGCCGACAATATTTTGAGATGGGCTGCAAAATGGTGGGCAAAGGCGATGATTTGTGTTCAAGTTAGAATACCCATGTGTTTGGGTTAAATTGTGATCATGCTCAACAAAAAAGAAAAAAGAAAGAAAAAACACTAAAGATGATGAAACTCGGTCCATATACAAAACTCGTGGTAATGGGCTTGAAAAATGGTGGTGGGGAACAACTTTGGATTCCCCGGATAGTATTTCACGATGGGCTGCAAAATGAAAGGCGATGATTTATGTTCAAGGTAGGATACTCATGTGTTTGGGTTACTCAACAAAAATGAAGGAAAGAAAGAAAAAAGAACTAAACAAGATGAAACTCGTTCCCGATAAAAAACTTGTGGTAGCGGCCTTGGAAAATGGTGGTGGGGAACAACTTATGATCCCACCGACAGTATGATAAGGACATCAATGGGCTAGTCACACGTGCTAAGGCAACTAGGCAAGGACGTTGAAGGAGAAACTTGCGACATATTTGGAGAGCTGCTTTGGAGACATGGACATGGAGCTATTTCGAGGGAAGCCATATATGATTATTCGAGTGGAGGAAGAAGGAGGAAGTGCTGAAGAGAAGGCAGATTGCAAGAAGTAGCCTTAACGGGTTTGCTTAACGGATCCAGCCTTAACGGGTTTACTTAACGGGTCCAGGCTTAACGATTTGGGCTTAACGGGTTTGCTGGGCTATTTCCGAGTTTCCATGTGGTAAAGTCGCTTATGATTGTTTTTCCATGTTGGAGTCGGATTTGGGTTGTACTTTGCCTATTTAAAGGGCCAAACACGTTGGTTTTCCCTTAGACGATTATTATTGAATTTCAGAGGCTACTGCCGAGTTCCCTACGTGGAATTTGCCCTAATTACTCTGTCGAGAATCTCTAGAGTAGGGGTGGGAAACGGTGCGGTTGCAGTTAACTGCACCGCAATTTGCGGTTAACTGCAACCGCAAAGTGCACATATTAGCCAACCGCACCTGCTACGGTTAGCGGTTAACGGTGCACCGCGGTTAATGGCATCACTAACCGAGTTAACCGCTGGAATGGTCGCGCCGTCGATGTCGACGAGCAGAGCAGATGTGGAGAGGACGGCGGCGTGCTCTACGCCTCTGATCGAGCAGGGACGGCGACGAAGGCGGGTTCTGGACAAGAAGGAACGGTGGCGGAGGAATTTCCGGACGACGAGTGTGGGTTCTGCTCTGGAATGGTCGCGGCGTCGCAGTTGCACTAGCTGTGAATCCCAGGTCACGTCGTCGCGGTTGCATGGAACTAGGGTTTCCTTTCTTTTCGATTTGGGAAAGTGGCTGAAGAAAGAATTCGCACGCTGAGGGCTGGGGAAACGAGAACTGTGATGGAAGGGGGTGGGTCGACAGTGGGCTAGTGGGCCTAGGGTGGGGTTTGTTGGATGGACTGGTCTGGAAAATGAAGTGGTGGGTTGGCCTGCGATTAGGTACATCTGCGGTTTCGGTTGCGGTTAAACCGCAAACCGCAAAAGACTCATTCTTCCCAACCACGACCGCAGAAAAGGTTGTTTTTGCGGTTTGCGGTTAACCATTAACCGCGCAGTTTTGGTGCGGTTTGCTGTTTAACCGCACAACCGTAACCGAATTCCTAGCCCTACTCCAGAGTGCTAGAGCGACTCTTATCAGCTAGGTATTCACCCTAGTTGTGGCGAGCTACCCATATCGATTGCCCTTTATTTCGAGTTGAATCTATCAGATCGATTCATATATTACCCTTATTCATGGGTGAGTACTGTCTGATCGATTTCCATCCTATCCGGTTCTATTTGGTTCGAGAAGCTTGACACTACGCTACTTTGATTATATCAAGTGGTATAAGAGCTAAGGTTCAAATCAGTGGCGTGTTCTTGAAGTTTTTTTTTTAAGATCTTGTGCGTTCTTGTTCGTGTTCTTGGTGGTTTTGTGCGAGTTCTTGAAGGTCTTGGCGTGTTCTTGGGCCGCAAGACAGGAGGTTGTTTGTTCTTGGGAGTTCTTGGTGTTTCTTGCGAGGCAAGAAGCAGGTTGTGCGAGTTCTTGAAAATTCTTCTGTCTTGGAATTTTCTTGCATCGCGGACTTGGAAGCAGCACTCGAAGCGATCAGAAATCAATTGGAGAACATTGCTCGTTCTCAAGAAGAGCAAACATCAACGCTTGCCGAGCAAACAACAAGGCTTGCCGAGAAAACAGCAAGGCTTGTCGAGCAAGCCACGAGGATGGAGGCTGTCGAGACAAGGCTCCAGCAGCCGGTTGTGGTCGACGCAAACCCTAACCCTAGACCTCGACAAGAAGAAAGGGGAAGGGAAAACCGAGCTCCTCCTCCCTTGGTTCACGAATTACAACATCATATGCGCCAGCATAGACGCCTTGGAATGCCTCAAGCTGAAAGGAGAGGGCGGCAACAACATTATGAAGAGGAGTTTAATGACGAGGAAGAAGAGGGCTTTGAGGAGGATGATGATTTGCGAAACCTCAAGGTCACGATTCCACCTCTTCGCGGTACCACAAACCCTGACGCTTATTTGGATTGGGAGCGAAAGATGGAACTTGTGTTTGATTGTTATAACTACTCTGAGAAGAAGAAAGTGACATTGGCTGCCCTAGAGTTCTCGGATTATGCACTTGTTTGGTGGGATCAGTTGGGAACGAGACGAAGGAGAAACAGGCACGTCCCATTTAGACGTGGGATGAGATGAAAAGAATTATGAGGGATCGGTTTGTACCGAGTTCCCATTTGCGAGATATGTATCAAAACCTCCAGCTTCTCCGGCTAGGAACTAAAAGCGTTAAAGATTATCACAAGGAGTTGGAAGTGTTGATGATACGTGCTGATGTGAGAGAGGACCGCGAGGCTACCATAGCTCGTTTTATGTATGGTCTCAATCGAGAGATCCAGAATGTGGTGGAGATTTAACCGTTCCTTGAACTTGAAGATTTGGTGGATATGGCAAGTAAAG